TAAGAGGAGGAGCAAGAGGAAGAAGAAGAGGGGCAAGAGGAAGAAATAGAGGAGCAAGAGGAAGAAGAAGAAATGGAGAAGCAAGAGGAAGAAGAAGAAGAAGAGGGGCTCGAGGAAGAAGAAGAAAAAGAGCAAGAAGAAGAAGAAGAAGAAGCAGAAGTCGAAGAAGAAGAGGGATCAGGAGAAAGAGGAAGAGGAGTTGAAAGAGAGAGTGGAGGAGGCAGCAAAACATGCAGAAAAAGAAAACATAAGAGAGATAGAAGGAGAAAGACGAAGAGAGAGGTGGAAGATGAGAGAGAGAGAACACAAGTTTGTAATCAATTCATTCTTCTTCTACATCATTCACATTTACCCAAATACGTTAAAGCACAAATGATATTCTCTTTTGAACCCTACCTTTCCCTCTTCATATAATACTGTTGAAATGTATTTTCATACTATCCTATCTTAAAACAAACTGAAATGAGCTGCATTATGTGTGTATACATATAGAGAATACATGTGAATGCATATGTGAGAGTGTGCGAGACTGTGAGAGAGAGAGAGAGAGAGTGAGTGTGTGAGAAAGTGATGAGTGACTGAGTGTTGACATTACAGTATAAGTATACAAGTTACATGTATATGTACATGTATACATATCTAAATACATGAATATAAACAGACATGTCTATGTAAATGTACATTCATATTCATATCCTGTCACTCTTTACAACATATGGTGATCTCATAGGTTCGACTGGCAGGACTAAATGCCCCTTTGCTGCCATGTGAGAATATCAAAATCACCATGACAGGCATAGAAATCAACTAAAGCTAAGGGGATGTTGTGCATACGTATATATGTACATATACATGTTTATGTATATCTATATGTACGTGTGAGTGTGGGAATAAATGCCAACACCTCTGATAATGTATCATGGAAATCCAGAAGATTAATACAAAGTGGGGAGAAAATTATCCATAATACTACATGATCCCTACATGATCGGGGTAAAATTTTGCCATCTAATATCCCTAAGAAATCTATACTTTAAATCATGCAAAAAATGCTATTTACTGGAGATGTCCCTGAAACGGATTGAAAAAAACTACAAAGCCTCACGTCTTTCAAGGCCAGTGAATGCTTGTAACCCTATGTTGTATTTCCGTTTCCTTGCATATCCACTAATGTCAAAACATTTATTTTATTAAACTTGTCGCTATGATATGACTCACACCCATACCTCTCATACAAGTAACACCTACGATACCCAACGGCAACAGGCTACCGTTGTGTATATTTATAAAAGAAATGCTCCACGTCTTTAAAAATGCCTTCCGTTATTGTTCTGAAGACAAACCAATAAAAGAATGACAAGGATAGTATATAATAAATAACTTGATATTGATGATATTCATGTCGAAGATACTGTCCGTCAAATCTCTGGACTGAATGAAGCATGAATCTTACAACATGTGCGATAAGAATAAGCATGGCAGTCGGGAATGACTTTCGTACATCATTGTCAATAATATAAAGATAATGAGATGCGTCACAACAAAGGATGTATACAACAAGAGGAATACGAATGTGCTTTTGACATTCCTCATTTCACAAGATAAAAAAAGCTATGGGGAGCATCACAATCAATCTATTTTCACAGATGTACTGTTATAAGAGGTACCGTGTTTACAAAATCCAAGTCACATTTACTAAATAAAAAAAGTTTGTTAAAGTTTGTTTTAGTCAACACATTAAAAGAGAAAAATGAGGCACAATGTTTTGAAGAACACAAACACCCGAAAACGGATGTATGGCAAGTTATCATTTATAAGAAAAACAACCACCTCAAAATCTATTCAAATATGAAAAATGCTTATTCAGTCTGGTCTTATACTAATCCTATGATGCCTTTACTTGGAAAAGGAAAGAGAAAATACACTTATATACTATACAATTTAACAAACAAGTGCTAGTTTTCACATCACACAGTCTCAAAACCTCCAAGAATACGTCTAATATTTAAAAGGGAAGCCGCTTGGCAATTACAGATCTCAAGTCACAATTTCCCCTGAACAAGTAGGACTGGATACAACAAAGGATCTAATTTACAAGCAGTATAGAAAATAACTAATGATCTTTCCTTCTGACTTACAGTAATGGCAGAGCATGCAATCACATACTGCTTTATGTTTGTAATTCAGTAAAGCCAGTTACATAATCATGGGCAATCTAGTACTACCAAACATTAAACAGGATAGGCATGGAATGAATATTCCTCATCAAAAAATGTGTATCAGTGTACAAAGAATGTGGTAAAATCATCAGTATTTTTACATACTTTGTCATTGAATACCTCTCATGAGAATCAACATAACTGTAAATGTGAAATTTTCATGCTCTAGCTTTTACCTAAATGTTTCTGCATGTTCTTTCAATATACATGTCTAGATGTTCAGGTACTTTCAGCTACTTTTTATATGCCTAGGACGAAAGGCAGCAAGTTGCTAGCATGTG